TCAGTGAAAGCCTTTAATTCCTCTGATCGGATCATTTCTATTCCTGTCTCTCCAGATGTTCTCTTATAGATGAAAATGCTCCAGAGTCCCCTGTAAAATAGTTACTGCATACTATGTGGTACATACAGATTGGGAATTCATTTTTACAGGCATGAACTCACTTTTTTCTGCAGATAAGGAAACGGCGGCCAAAGCAGTCCCACAGACAGCAATGGGTTGCTGGAGTCTGAACTCAGACGGCCTGGCTCCAGAGCACTCGCTCTTAACCCCACTACAAACCACCTCTGGCCATCCCATGTCCCAGCAAACTCAGCAGAGGAAAAAAAGGCCCGGCCGGGGAGCTCAGCTGGTTGGAGCATCCCCCCACACACCAAGGCTGCAGGTTCAATTCTTGGTCAGGGCACACACAAGAAGTAACCAATGAATGCATAAATATGTGGAACAACAAATCAATGTCTCTTTCTCTCCCTCTCTCCCTCCCCCTTTTCTCTCTAAAAATCAATTAAAAAAAAAAAAGAGAGCACAAAAGGAAAAAGTAAAATTGAACCACAGTTATGCTGCCCAGTCTTGTCACCCAGAGGCTTTTAATCAGGACTTGATTACCTGGTTGGTCCTCTTGCTTCCTCTCTGCTTTATGACAAATGGTTAGTTAATAGGTCCCCGGCCTAATCATCCACATTTTATTAAGTTTTTACACACAGTCACATACCTGCTGCTGTATTCCTTTTGCCTATGGCATTTAATCAACCCATTCCTTGGTGTATTATCAGAGATGTCAGTTACCCGCTTGACACGACATGGCCACAGTGGAGAATAATGTGAAATGAAGACTGGGGTGTGGAGACCGCACTCTGAAACGCTTCTCATGACCACAGTTTCCTCGTGCTGATGAGCGAGCTCTCCAGTCCGAGGGTCAGAATGGGCCCCGGTCAGGCCACTGGTAGGGTCAACAGTTAGCCCCGTCCTTCCCCCGGATAACTTCCCCATGTGTGAACTCCTCATCTATAGAGTAAAAATATTTTCCATTTTCACCAATAACTTTGATGTGGATATTCTAAGTATGCTGGCTGTCTCCCCTGTGGTAGAACATTGATGGTTCTAATTAATGTCTCGATTTGATTGCTATCAACTTCAACCGGTCCATCGACCGTGGAGCTTCGTCCAGTGGGAAATCTCCAGCATGAAACTTCGGAAACCACTCAGAACACGTTCGATCAGTCACAGAACCTTCTCTCCACACAGTGCACAAATCTTGTTTTGCATTTCAGCTGCATTTTTACCTTTCTTGAAATAATAAAGCATAATATGCTGAAAATGTTACATATTTTCTTCCATCTTCAATATCAAAATGGCTACACAAAAATGTACTCATTGTGATAAGTTTTTTAAAATGTACATTGATATGACAGCTGTCATAATACAATCTAACAGAAATTTTCTGAATGAAGTTAAAGACAAATAAGCGCCACTAGAGCCATCGCACAGACAAAACCAAACTTCTGGGCCAAACTGATGCCTTCCTAACCTAGTGATCAAAAGAGACGATGTGGCTGACAGCACCTGGGAGGAAGGAGGAAGGGGGAGAGCACAGCCCCCATCTCTGAGACGCCCCGCAGGTGCAGCGGAGAAGAATGTGACCAGAAAACGCAGGGCCCAGGCGTGACCGGTGCAGGGCTGCTGCAGGCGCAGTGCCAGAGACCACTGCAGGGCGCTGTTTCCACAGACTAGTCCACGCTGCAGACTAAGAGTCTCCCCTTTGCAGAACTGACTCTGTTCAAGTCCCTGAGGCCTTGCGAAAAAGGGCCAAGCCAGGGCCTGAACCCAAACCACTCATCCCAAATGCCAAACTCGTCTGCTGACTGCTGCACAGGAAGCCAGGAGCCGGTGGGACGCAGGCTCTTCTGTCTGGCTCAGTACCATCTCCGCACCATTTAAAGTGACGACCAGCACTTTCGGATGGTACATGAGCAGATCAGTCACTTACTCTTAAATTAAGTGCTTTCAGAAAGAAACTGCACTAGGAAACAGCAGTTCGTACTCTGGAGGAGGAGTCTGGGAGAAGGACTCTCATCCAAGGGCCTCTCAATCTAACAAACACCCACCAGAGCACGGGCAGGGCCCCACCCAGGTTACTCCACTGCCGGAACTACGAGCAGAAAGACGCCCAAGTCTGCCTTCTCCTCTGAGAGCCTTGGCCGCCTTCTCTCCTCTGCTCCTTCACACTGTTTCCTGTCTTCCCATTACTACACTGTTTTTAGCTATACTTTTGCTGAAATAATGAAACCTTTCAAAATAATGTAGTTTACTGAATTTCATTCCATGAGGGTGGCTTACAAAGTAAGGGTCTGAGTTAATTTTCGTTTATTTTTCCGGGGAAAGGGAGAAAATGGAGAGGTTTGGCAGGGTTATACAGATGATTAAACCCTGACCAGCAAAGCAGGCAGCTTTTTCAGAATTCAATGGTCAGTCACTAAATGTTCCTATTTGCAAAGTAATTGGTTCCCAAGGCAGACAAAGGATAAAAGAAAGTGAGACAACACCACCGCTGAGTGTGCTGGGAAATACATATTCCGTGCACACGAAGGCGGAACGAGGATCTACTCTGTTAACTCCGAGACTGCTGCAAGTGCTGCCAGGCTCGCCTCTTCAGAGCTGGGTAGGAAGTACTTACAATCACAAGAATAACCCTAAGTAAATTCTGCCAAAGGCAGAGTCTCTGAAACGCACTGATGCCAGCTGACGGACACTGATGCCCCTATTTGTGCTATCAAGTAACTATGAACGCACAGATTTTATTTTTTCATTTTTATTTTTTACTATTGTTCATGCACAGTTGCCTCCATTTACCCTCCATGAACACAGATTTTAGATGGTCTAGTTTTCATAAAAGAAGAATATAGTGTCAAGTGAAAAAAAGATACAGAGAACAGTAACTGGTTTCAAAAACATTATAAAAATAGCTTCTCATATAATTTATTTCTCATTATCACTACCACTTACCTATGTTAATATCCAAATAACTGCTAAAGTTTTTAAAAATTCCAACTGACCATCGAAGGGGAAAATTATGGAAGTCTTAATAACCACAAATAGAAGAAAGGCCAAAAATAAATTTAGACCAAAAAAGTATGCCTCAAATTACATACATTAGTTTTTCTTAATCAAAATGGAGCCCTTCCAAAAGACACAAGAGATGGAGGGAGGAACTCCCCCCCAAGAAGCCTCTGCACGTGTGTGCTTAGACGCACAGGAGGCACTCCAGTGTCGGTTACTAGGGTCACTATCGGAAACGCACTGTCTGTCTCCGCTATTGGAGTGTAGCCCCCAAGAGGGCAGGACTGCCTGATTCACGACTGCATTCAAAGGGCTAACACTTAAGAGGCCCTCGACTGATGTATATTGAAGAACAAATCCAGTTCAGGTCTAACATTCTAGACTGACAACGCTACGTTTGGAGGGCAGAGGCATCTGACTTTAGAAAAGCCGTCACTTCCCCTGGGTCAGTCACAACTGACGTACGACTGAAGAGGCTCTGGGCATAGAGCCGCAAACTAAACAGCCTCCCAATCTCAGTCCACCACTCACAAGGAAGTTTCCAGGCTGCAAACGGACAATCTGCATATCAAACTGGGCTTTGTGCTCTGAGTTACCTGGGTTTTATGTTTCTAAGAATTACGTCAATTCCCAAAGTTGGTATACAGAGAACAAGTAGCTTTATCTGCCTCTAACGGGCTAGACTTGGAGACTTAAGCAAGTGCAACTCCCAAAGGTGAGGAAATGAGAAAAGCAAGAAAAGGAGAATTCTAGAGTTCACCACTAAGTGTGTCGGTACTTAGACTGCAGGAAGACCCAACTAAGTAAGCCAGGAAGCACAGGTTAACCAGATACATGTGAGTACAGACATTCTATGTAGATCTGATAAGGAAAAAAACACTGCACTGCAGTTAACACATTAGGACGGACTGTGTAACACTAGCCTAAGATGAGAGTACTTCCCGGAAAAACCTACGGATCGGTGTTGGGGACAGAGCTCACGAGTGGTGAAAGAGCAGGACAGACAGTACTAGTCGTGGAAACAACCTCAATCTCATGAGTCACACGCAGCCCACACTTCAGGTCGTTACGCAGACAGAACCAGAATGCAGCCGAGTAACGAGGCCAACGTACAAGGACACAGAGGCCAACGTGGCGGGGGCTCTGCCCACCTCTCCCTCACTCTGCCACCCAAGTGTCTGCTGAATGAGAACACGCTGTTTGCTTGGTGACTTCGGAGTGGTCCCCACAGATCTGTTCTCCACCTGTCATCTGCCTGAAACCGGCCTCTTGTGGGAGGCCAGGAGGTGGTAAGTAAGTACACGAGTGGCTGACCCCCGGGTCCTACAGCTGCTGCAAAGCAGTGACAATTAATGGGAAGGAGGAAGGCACTGGAGACATAGGGTTCAAACCCCAGCCTAGACACTCACACTCTCTGGGAATGCGCCCCAGGCAGGCTCACCGGTAGAAGGGATGCGACAGTCACCCCTATCCTACGAGACCACTGAGGAGGGGAGATGAGGCGCTCACCACTGGCATTGGCATGACAGCTGGGACCTGAAACACCCTCCCCTGGCTTTCAAAAACCGGGAATGAAATAAAACATATTTAACACTAATACACACTGAGCAACTAGATCTTTGGTAGTTAAAATTCTCTAGAATTATTTTACTTACCTAAATGAATGTCAATAGCTCTCGAATATAAACTCCATTTGTAAAAAAGTATTGAACTTTTGAGGACTGAGGAAAACCTGATAATGTCTGCACATCCCTTTTGTTTAAAAATGAAAACAAAATGACTAAAAACAACAACTGTCTAACATCTGTATCAGCACAGGCACTTTGAAACTGTAAAATTATGAAGCTATAGATTAAAACTTTAGAAATAAAGTCTTTTCAATTTGGGGAATAAACAACTTGGAGGACAGTGGGAAAGATTCACATCCTGTAAACAGCTGATCTTACCCAGACACAAGGGGCAGTTCTGTCCCTGGGCTCGTGGGAGAGACCCCGGCAGACACAGGCCGAAACACTGCACAGTGTGTCTGCAGAGGAGAAAAACAGAAGCCCAGAGGACGCTAGTCATTCTCTTCAGATGCCTGTCCCTCCCATGTCTGTCACTTAATACGTAACTAAATAACGCTGGCACTTTTAACCTGAACATAACCCAGTTTCAAAATGAGTAACTCATTCCTTCCCAAGTATGTATCCTCTGTATCTAGAAAAGTCTTGGGCCCTGGCCTTGCAGCCTGACTTCTTCAGGGGTTACAGGGCAGAAACGACCCATCTCATCAAGTGTCGGCCCCATTAATAGCCCCTCCAGTAGGTGTTAATGCCTCATTTACTCACGGGAGGCCGTTCTTGCCACGCCCCAAGAGCACACGACACGCTTCAGAAAGGTTTCCATGCAACAGCCGGAACACCTCTGAACAACTATGGCATGTTTTTACAAGCCAGTAAAAATGCAAAGCACTTTTGAATCATTGCAACACCACAAATAAAATAAACATCCCAGAAAGCGTGACCCCTTTAAAAAGTCCCAGCTGCAGGGCCCTGTCTAAGTGGGAGCAACAAGCGCAGGCGCTGACCGGCACAGTGGAGGTTCAGCATCTCTGAATGACCGTCTGCAGGGCGGACGTGATGCTGGAAAGTGTACAGTACAGGGGGCCTCAGACCGGGTGCAGGTTAGTACAGAGTTCCACTTCCTCCTTGTCTCACATATACTCTGAAAAGGAAGCAGAGGTATCACTAAAATTTCCCTGCTCTGGTGGACCAGAAGTGGCTGCTTTATTTGGCATTTCTCTGATTAGCAGGTGAGGATCAGCGTTCTTTATTTATTTATTTACAGAAATTTCCCATAGGACCTATTAATTTCTTTGTTCACCTACCTCTTCATTGAAATCTTGATGTATCCATTCCTACAAATTTGAAAAGTAGTATACGGACTGACCCTTTGTTACATGTGACATTCTATAATCTTACTTTTTAATGAGCAAGTATTTTAACAGTTGGCATATTTAGGTCTGAACACCTTTTCTTTGAGTTCTGCTTTAAAAAGAAACATTACACGCATTCCTTCACAGCACAAGTCTAATAAAATGTAGCGAGAAAGTTTTAAGACATTATCTCTGATAGACATTTTACTTTGCCCTCTCCACAATCTCTGCAATTTTACACATTCCTCCTTAATCCATCTGGAATTTATTCTGATGAGTGTTTTCCAGCTGTCTCATTGCCAAAAGCCCGGAGATGGGGGCGTGTTTCTTCACACCCCACAAGGGCAGCTGCACCCAACACTCTCCGCGCCCCACCGCCGCCTCCTGGTCAGCTGTCTGCCCTTGGGAAGGCCGGTCATCTTCTGCACCTCAGTCTCCTTCCTTGTTGGTAATAAAATACACTCAAGTCCTATGTTCCAAGGTGGGTGAGGCAATTAGAAATAATAAATGTAAAACACCCAGCCCTGGCTGCTGTGGCTCAGTGGACTTGAGTGCCAGCCTGTGAACCAAAAGGTCGCCAGTTCGATTCCCAGTCCAGGCACATGCCTGGGTGGAGGGCCTGGTCCCCAGTGGAGGGTGTGTGAGAGGCGACCATGCATGGATGTTTCTCTCTTCCTCCCTCCCTTCTCCTCTCTAAAAATAAATATTAAATATTTTTTAAAAAGAAATATCTAGCACAATGTCTGGCACATAATGGATATTCTATAAATAAATATTTTAATTACCTACTATCTGATGAGAACATAAAAGACACTACAAAATTCATTTCTAAAACTTCAAACACATCAAGTTTAATCAATTCAAAGTTAAAATAGATTATTTTAGTTAAAAATAACGTTTGATTATGAACTCATTGTATTTACATGTTTTAAATCCAACTCCTGTGTCCCGTCTGTATCAACACATGTAGCACTAGTGAGTGAGGTTTCTCGCACCAACTCAGTCCCTGAACCACGGCTCTAGTGGAGCCTGCTTCTGCTAACACAGCCTTGGGTGTGGTTTCGAAAACAACTCCGGGCGAGGCAAGCACAGATAAGCCAGCCAGTCCTCTGTTTAACTGCAGTGAACTTTAACGCACCCTGCCCTGCACCCTGCCCTGTTCACAGTTCCAAAATCTGTCTGTTAACGCTGGGTCAGAAAGAATCAGGGCTTGAGTCTTCAGCAAAATTCCATTAGCCTCTCAACAGTGACTGATTTATTAATGTGCTGGCTTAGATCTTAGGGCCCCTGAGTTCTGATCCCAGTTCACCACCACCTACCTACCTACCTGGTAACCTTAGGAACACTTCATCCCTCCATGGTTCATTTCTTCCTTTGTAGAATATGAATATCATTATGTACTTTTTTGGTTTAAGATTAAATGAGTTAACTTAGGTCAAGTTGTTAGCGTGGTGGGTAGTTAATATTAATGAAGGGAGCAAATTAAATCATACATTAAGCCTAATTAGCTGGGGAGCTGAGTCAGACTTAATTAAGCTGGACTTACTAGGAAGCTGTAACATTCACAGGTCCCCAGCATCCCCCCGCATCCGCTACAGAGCAGAAGGACAGGACGCATGGGCTCCCTGGGGGGACAACCAGCCATTAGCTGGAATTACCAAGGGAGGGAGAAAACGGGCAAGGGGAAGCTCCTCTGCTGGGCACGTGCTCAACAGAAGCCAAGATGGCACAGGGGGAGGACCCTGTCCTTCCAGGCACGTGCAGTAGGAGACGAGATGGCGACCACAGAGAAGAGGCATCTAGCCTGGGAAAAGGGTCAGACTGGATGGAGACACGGAAGCCTGTAAGATCCAGGAAAGGGACCGGAGAGGGGAAAGACCCAACACAAGCACTAAAGCACGAGGAAAGAGACTGCTTAGTTTAAAGAAAAGCCTCTTTCCCAAGTCTGCAGTAATATAACCAAAGCGCACCCTCGGCCCCTCTCAGTGGCACGTGTCTGCCCCTTCACTCAGGTTCTCAAGCTGAAAGGGAGTCACTGCCAACCTGGGTTCCTATACCAAGCAGAACTATCTTCCAAGAAAGCGTGTGAAATAAGTCATTTCAGATAAACAAAAACAGAGGTACCATTTACAGACCTACAGTAAGGGAGCTTCTACAGAAGAAAAATATAATCTCAGGAAAGAAACAGAAATACAATAAGGACTGTAAGCAAAGAAACTGCTAAATGGGAAGGTAAACCTAAAACATGGTTTTGGATAATATAGTGATAATAATGTCCAATTCATATGGTTAAAAGGAAGGCCAGACTAAAATACTAACAGCAGCAGCATGTGACTTGATCACTGAGTTTAACTGGAGTTAAAGTATTTTTAATGCCTTGTTTTGTCTGGCATGGGAATATGACATTAATTTCAGACTTTGCTAAATATGCAGGTAAAATATCAGGGATAAGAACAAAAAGAATAGAGTATGTACTTTACAAATCAAAAGACAGGAGAATGTAAAGAGAGACATAATAACTTGGTTGTTTAAAAAGGCAAGCATGGAGAGAAAAAAATGACAAATAGAAAACAAAATGCAAGATGTTAGAAAAAGTACAAATTTATCAACATCGCAATAAGTGTAACTGTGCTAAACTATGTCAGTTAAAGGACAGATATCATACCCACTGTAGAAACTGAATAATAATGGTGACCAAGGTATCAGTCCTGACCCCTGGAATCTGTAAGTGTCATTCTTCATGGCAAAGACTGTGCGGACAGTGTGATCATCCTGGATTACCTACATGGGCCCCAAATGCCACCACCAGTTTTCTTACATAAAAAGAAGACAGAAGGGACTGCCCTATCTCTCTTTCTCAATAAAGATTTTATTTATTTACTTCCAGACAGAGGGGAAGGGAGAGAGGAAGAGAGGGAGAGAAACATTGATGTGTGGTTGCCTCTCATGCACCCCCCACCGGGGACCTGACCCACAACCCAGGCATGTGCCCTGACTGGGAATTGAACCAGCGACCCTTTGATTGGCAGGCTGGTAATCTACTGTGCCACACCAGCAGGGCACCACTGCCCTCTCTTAACTACACAGATAGGAGGGCAATTTGACCAAGACACAGAAAGTGGAGCAAGGCATCCACAGACGAAGACGCCAGCAGCCGTAAGACGCTGGGGAGGTGAGAAACAGCCCCCTCTAGAACCTCCGGGGGGAGTGCGCCGCTGCTGAAGCCTGGGTTCTGACTCACCGACGCTGCTCCCGGGCTTCTGGCCCCCAGAACTGTGAAAGCACAATTCCTGTTCTAAGGCACCACATTTTAAGAACAGCTTGTTCTGTTCGAAAATAAATAGATGAAGACAGGTATTCAAGCAAATATCAACCAAAAGAGAAAAAAACATGGAAAATAAAAGCATTTACTTAGGCTGAAAGCCACTACAAGTTAAGAAAATGAAAAATGCCCCTGGCCAGGTAGTTCAGAGGGTTAGAACGTGGTCCCGATATACCAAGGTTGCAGACTTGAGCCCGGTCAGGGCACATTCAACAAGGAACCAGCGAACGCATCGATAAGCAGAACAACAAACCTCTCTCTCCCCCTTCCTCTCTCTCCCTCTTTCAAATCAAATAAAAATTTAAAAATAAAAATAATTTTCAAAAAATAAAAACATATATGCCTAATAAAATGCTATCAACACATATAAAGTGAAAACTTCTGAAACTCAAACCTACCATCATTCAAGATTAAAATATTGCTTAATTATCAGTAGGCAAAGAAGTCAACAATAAATACAAAATAACCGCAATGTAATTAACAAATCAGATCACTGAAAGTATAAAGAGCCTTGCACCTCCTTGCTTTCCAAAACAATTAACTTAAAGCACGCATATTCTTTAGACTACAAGTAACATTTGTAAATATGCACCTCAGATCTGGACGGAAATGAAGAAAATCTCAACCAATTCCAGAGAATCAGAAGCATATTAAACCATTTCTCTGGTTTAACTCTGTCACAACACAATTAAAATAAATCAATAACAAATATTTCTTAAACCACATCTTTGTACATTTAAAAGTACACTTTAAAAAACTTATGTGCCAAAGAAGACACCACAACATACTTTCATAATGAAAATATTACAACTGAAAATTGTTGGGTTCAGTAAAACCCACTTCTAGAAAAACATATAGCCTTAAACACATTAAAAAAATGAGTAAGTGACCTTTCTCTAGAGGTCAGGAAAAAACTAAACTCCAACCCATTTAGCAGTCACACGCAACTGTGTTTTAATATATATAATTTCTAACCTTAAACAACTCTAAAGATTGTATTATAGCTTAGATTATAGCTACAAATTGTTCTGATTACCTGAGTTTAAGATACAAACCATATGCCCTTCAGGGGAGAAAATGTTCATGACATAAGATGTAACTCATGCATCCATTCTTGCAGCCTTAATTTTTACTGAGAATAAAGATGATGTCAGTTTTGTTCAACAGCACAGTGAAATCTGGAGCCAGTGGTTTCAAAAGCTGAAGTAACATAACTCATTCAATGAAAAAGTACTAGCAAACTTCATAGTTGTATTCGGCAAAGTCTGCACTATTTTCATGAAAATTCTATTCCCTAGTGCATATGTAGCAATCAAAATGGAAATGACCCACCAAGAAAAAACACACTTTAAAGGAGAACTGCTAGCCCGACTTTCGTGAAACGGAGGTGGAGGAGATCGCTGCAAGAGAGGGGCGAGCACCGCCTCAGTGACTGAACGGCTCCTTCAGGGACCCACCGCGTCCCAC